CCCCAAAACCCCAAAACCCCAAAACCCCAAAACCCCAAAACCCCAAAACCCCTGGAATAATATAAATATGGAAATAGTTTATGGACCTGGACAAACTCCTTTTATAATGGAGTATAATGATGCATTAGATGCCAGCCTTGAACCAGGCTGCTACCAATGATATGCTTATATTCACGAGCAAGAGGATACATTCTGATCACAGTGTAAGCTCAGCTACTGAAAGAGATGCACCCCTGATCACTGAGCCGAAGGGAAGTGTACTAGTAAATAAATCTATCGAAGATCTTGTGGTAAGCACATTTGAATTCCCTCTTTAAAGCATCTTGTAAAGTCTTTTCAGATTCTATCCTTGTGAAAGGAAGGAAATAAATTCAAATGGAATTTCATAAGAATTTTCCTTGATTAGAATTTAAAATTTGTTTGCTATAGAGCTCATAATTCCGATATAGTGAACGAATGCCAAAAATTGCCACCTTTTCAAGCCATTTTTTGAAACATTAATGTTAGCAAAAGTTGAATGAATCAATGCCAGAAAGGAGATCAGAGAGTTAGAAGCTTCAAAAAGGAAAATTAAAGAAGCTAAGCTAAAAAGTCTTAAGGTACTACCAGCTCCTCAGGTCAAGCTGGAAGTAAGCTATTCCAACCTGTTAGACAAGGATGATCCTGAAATGAAGAGAATTGTTGAAGAATATCTCGAGAACGTCAACAAAATGGGAGGGCAGCTACAGCAAGAAAGATTGAGACAGATGAAAAACTGCCAGCACCAATTTGACAAGAAATTATCAATTCTGTCTGAGAAGCAGGATGAGTTTAAACAAAAATATTCAAAACTGTTTATGGATTATTTAGAGAAGCATTCTGCTACAGTCAGAGTACTCGAGCAATCAGAAACCTCCACTGAAAATGAAACCGATTATTCAGAGATTGAGAGACTCTTTGCAGGAGGTGAAGAAGCTAAGACTCAGGATGAAAGTGACCTCGACAATGATCCATTGGATCTTGGAGAAATCCAGCTGCATGAAAAGTCTAATCCTGAAGACATATCTCCTCAAGTGCAGCTTTGTGACGAAGGAGGCTCAAATTCTGGTGAAAATTCTGAAAATTGACCTTAATCAGATAAGCACTTAAGCCATTTGAACTTCTCATAGATTTTTTAATAGCAATATTGAACGCCTTTGGTCTCTATTTATAAAAATCAATTAGCTTTGTCTAAAAGGGGTTTTGGGGTTTTGGGGTTTTGGGGTTTTGGGG